CAGCGCAGGGAACTGGATCGAGATCTCCCAAGTCCCAATCCAGTCCCTTAACTACGAAACCATCTAGTTCTAACAAAAATATTAGACTTAGCAACCCTACAATAACAACCCAGGCTGTGTGCGTGGCCTGTGTGAAGCAGGTGAGTTTTATTCTACGCATTTTATAGAAGGGAGACCAAGGCACAGCAGAAGGAAATGATTTGCCTGAAGCCAAACAATGAGCCAGCAACAGAAATCTGATCTCCCGATTCCCAGCAAGAATTATTGACCCATTAGACCAAACTCCCTTCCTTCTGCCTATGAGTCCTTGTCCCACCGCTAAAGCCCCATGACAGCAGTGCCTTTCCCTCCCTGGCCCTTTAACTCTTCGGAGGCTGAGGGCATCACTCCTTCCTCACTTATGTTATTGCACGATCCTGGTTTCCCTTTTTCTTTTCGCTAGCCATTTTTTGCCTTATAAATTTTGCATTTTCAGCCTGCTTGTCATATTTCCTACTGGATTGGGTGTTTAATTAAAATCATAATTAAAACTGATCTCCTCATTAGCATGCACCTGCTCTGCTGCTCACATCCCGGCATTCCATTATCCACTGAAGATGTCAAGTCTGACAGCCGAGAATGAGACCCCGGCCATCAACCCCTGACAGGACTTCCCGGCAACAACATCTGGACAGCAGGAACCCGTCTGCCAAAGTATTCCTGTGTGGGAGGGGGTGGCGGTGGTGGAGGATGGGGATGTGGTTGCTAGAGAAACAACAAATACTTAGCATAGAGAAGCCTGCCAGGGTCTGAGGTATGCTGCCTTCCTGCTTTTCCCTTCCATAGGCATGCAGCTGATAGCTTGACCCAGCTGCACTTCTCAACACCAAGCCCCAGTTCTAAGCCTGTGCTACCTTCCCCCTTTCAGAGGCTGGTACCGTGGGTCCTTAGGACATGACTAAGATGAAACACAGTGCCATCAGCATAGAGGGACTTTATAGTCATCACTAAGGCTATGAGAGAGGAACCATCTCGCCCATTCCGCTACGTCACTGCAAGCAATGAACCCACAAAGCCAGTGGGATAAGACAGCGCTCCTAGGTTTCATTGAGTGATGCAGGTTTGGGAAGCTAAAGTGGGATTTAATGTGCAGTTCCCATCATGGTGCGAGGAGATACGCCACAGTCTATGTGTGGCACATCAGATTTATACCCTGTATCTTAGCTGGGGCCTGGAGCCACTTGTTTCAATGCAGCCCTCTCTCTCCTTTGACACATCTCTGAAATCTGATGGGAGGAGATTGCTGGGTTGTGTTGGGGGTAGACTTGAGCTGCTGGTTTCGCTCGGGTTATATTCGCTGAAGCAATGTCGGAGGCGCAGATGGTGCCGTTCTCTATGTCGCAGTAAGTAAATAACAAACTACGTTACAACTTCAATAGCTCCACTGCAGTCAGTCATTAGCCAAGGGGATTATGGGGGCGTCACTCTCCCCTAAAGAATCAATTCTGGTCACCGTTTCTCCAGGCAGGACACTAGACTGGATGAACCACTGGGCTAGGTGAAGCAATGGTCTGCATCCAGCCTGGCAAATCAGCTGTATGGAAATCTGCACTGTATGGACATTCATTTTATCTCCCAAACTGATATTAAGCAGATATGGGCCTGAACCAAAGCCCCAGCACAATTCCCCCAAACCCATGGTGGTACTTGATATCCTGATCTACAGCAGGACCCAAATTTTGCAAATGTGTTTATAATTGCACACCCAACCCCCAAACCTCCCAGCCCAGAACTAATACCGCCATACTCTGCAGAGTCACGCTGGTGTAAACTGGCCATAGCCCCACTGGAGTCACTGCCCCAGATCCAGTGAATCGGCATCACTTCATTGATGACAGTGGTGTTCTGTGTGTAGCTTTTGTTTTCCTGAGAGTGCAGGAGTGGGCCTAGCACCGGCGTTTCTGAGAACACATGGCTACGTGTCTCCATGGCCATGTGTGTGCTTACTCCAGGAGTATCATGCAGGCAGATTAAACCCCTTGGAGTACCAGTTGTCTTCTGAAGACAGAAAATAAATAGGAAACAAGAAGAACTAATGTGGCACATTTAGGAGGCTATTACTGTCCTTCATATGTCAAGAACATAAACATGAACATGAAAACATGTTCAAAACATGTTTAAAACATGAACAAACAAAGTGAAAAAGGAAGTGGAGAAGGAAGCTGCTGTTTGCGCTCATGCCCTCCCCATTTGTATTAGGATTACAGGGAAGGAAGATGTGCTTAATTACAGACTTATCATTTTTATGACAAGCTCCTGGCAGCGATGCTGCGGGTTATGGAGCAGAGGACTTATTGAGTGTGAGATTCAAAGGAGCTGAGCATGATACGGGATGACTGTTACTTTTCTCCAGGCATGCAGGTGACCCAATCACATGCCATTAAACATTGGGGTTAGCAACATTCAAGAGATGCTAAATAGCCAATCCTCCAAAGGAGGTGAAAAACCCCCACATCTCTAACTGACATAGTTACGCCAACAAAACCCCCAGAGTAGATGCAGCTATGCTGATGGAAGAGTGCTTCAATGGATGTATCAATGCATCCGATGAAGTGGGTATTCACCCACAAGAGCTTATGCTCCAATACGTCTGTTAGTCTATAAGGTGCCACAGGACTCTTTGCTGCTTTTACAGATCCCGACTAACACGGCGACCCCTCTGATCAGTGGATGTTGTTAAGGTCATTTGGGGAGGTAGTGTTCCTGCATCAACAGAAATACTCCTTTTGTCTGCGTAGGCTGCATCTACACCAGAAGGCTATGCCAACATAGCTATGCCAGTTCAGGCTCTGTAATGTAGACATAATCATAGAAATGCAAGGCTGGAAGGGACCTCAAGAGGTGGTCTAGTTAATTCTATCTTAGGGAGGGGAAATGAAGTATATCTTTCTAGCTGTGGTCTCATTGAGTCCATACTAGGGGGTGGGGAGTCGTACCACTTTAACTATATTAGCCTAGTTAAAGCAGTACAATTTTTGTGTCTAGATTCTCCCATCACCCTCTCCTTTTATTATTATTGCTATTACCTCAGTGGCTACTGTGCGCAGCAGAAACTTAAAAACTGGACCTGCTCCTTATTCTGTGCATTGAAAATAAAGCTGCTAAAAGACTTTTTTGTGGGAGGGAGCATTATAAATGAGAAGTTTCATTCCCCTGCACCCTTAACATCTCTGACTAATGGATGGAAGTCCAGCAGGATTCATGAAATGATGAGAGCTGTCACCAGAACATACCTACCAGCTTCAACATTCTCCCTGTTGCTCCTTGAGGATCAGAGGGGTTTTAAAAATACCCAGTGGCCTTCCCCCTTTGCCCCTTCCCCCATACTGGAAGGGTGTCCAGGCAGTTTCAAAGCAAATACATCTCTGCCTACCCACCTCCTAAGACTCTGTGATTACTGAACCATCAATTCAGACAGCAGGATGACGTAATGGCAAATACTTAGAAAAGTGGCTTCTAATAAAATGATGAGGAGGCCTTTAAATCTTCCTTTGATTGTTCTTATTGTAACTTCAATTCTGACCATTTATCATGAGTTTCCTCACTGGGGAGGTCCTGCTTGTATGGTGCAGAATGAATCTGAGAGAGCATGCAAAAGCAATATTTTACAGCGTAGTTGCCCTTAAATTGTTAGGCTACTTATAAGACTGAGGCCATCAAATGCCAGATGCAGGGACCTTTTTGCAACAAGAGGCAAAGCCGATGAAACTCAAAGCTGAAACTTATGAATCTTTGGGTCTTCCAAAGTTGATGATGTTGGAGAATAACTTGCTGGTTTGAAAAAAGGAGCCATAGCAGGGTATGGCCAATGTGTGGGTTGGTTTATGCCAGGACAAGGGATTAGTGTGAAGTTTCAACCATACCCATTATGCATAATGAATGAAAAGCAGATATTTCCGGTTCATTAAAGGACATGAAAAATAATGATTAAAATACAAACAAAACAAAAAACAGATCAGATAATGGTATGAATTTTTCTGCTCTTCGAAAAGACGATACCTCCCTCTAATAAGGAACAGGTCATTTGAATATTATAAAGGAATACATCCAGTACTATGAATGGCCAGATATCAGCACAGCATCTTGATGGGGAATATTATTTATGTGGCTACATCATTAGTAAACCTGCTGGGAATAATATTATTTAACATAATAAGAGAGATGGGGACTCTGCAGTTTATTTGGGGTGGGGGAGTACAGCAGGTTGGGGGGATTGGAGAAAAGAGAATGCTGGACTCTGAGGGCCACATCGTCAGCTGGTGCAAATTGTCATAGTTCCAAAGATGTCAACGGAGCTTTGACAACAGCTGAGGACCTAGACACGTGGCCCTAACCCTGACTATACGAAACCTCTCATACTACAAACCAGAATCAGGCTACCACATCCTGAGGTTCTTAACTCACACAAACTCTCAGGGTTTTTAATGAGTTTTTGCCTAAGTAAAGATTCGTCAACATTGAGTACGGGCCAGGGAAGAATTAAGTGTGGACACGTACGTGACTGACAGTGGAGAAAGGGGGATACTAATATTACACGGGTACACATACTCAAGGAGAAAGGATGTCAGAAGTGAGCCTGAAGCCAAGTATTGCATTTAGACGTTAGAGGAATGAAAGGATCCATTTTTCACTTGGTCTAAGTAAACATTTGTCATTTCGTTTCTAATTACACAATTACGTAAATGTGTGATATTAGTAAATGAAAGCCTGAAGATGTTCAATAAAGAATCTCTTAAGTAAATAAATGCTGGAGAGCAATTTTGTCGCTGGGTTTAAAGTTTAAAAAACAAACGTCCATATTTGTTCAGAATAAAACACAATGCAAGAGAAAATCAGGAAAAGGAAGGCCTACAAAACATGAAAACAGATATAGACACAGGATTAAGTAACAAAGGAATTTATTTTAGTGTTGATGATACAAGAGACAGGAATTATGTTACTATAACTGTTCTCCAAAGGTTCAGTTCAGGCTTCGCAGAATTGCTTTGCTCAGTTTCAAAAACTGAGAGGTAATTCCTGGCACTGGCTCAAGAACATGAGTACCAACTATAGTGCATACTGTTAAGAACCAGGGCACAAACCCCCTGGGTGGGAGATTGAAACTTAGATTTCAACAACCAGTTATCAAGTGTAAATTTCTCAGGCATTGTAACAGCCTTAACATGGAGTCACAGACAGTCCCCTTGGGTACTCCGATCTGTCTTGCCACCCAGGTAAGCCTACCTTTGCGATAGATGGTCCTTACACCAAGTATTACAGCAATATTCAGGTTACTCCCAATCCCAAAGGACCAGTCACTTACCCCAGGTAAATTGCACTGTAGATCTCATAGCAAAGTAGCAAAGGCAACACTCCTAGCCAAACCTATAATAAACTATAGGCAGATTTATTAATAGGAAAAGAAAATACAAGAGTTATTTACAAAGTAAAAGCAGGGAAACAGATACACCCAAATGAGTTCCAATCTTAAGTTTCAAACAGTAATACAAACTTCTATAATAAGCAAGCTTTATATGTCCTTTAGGGCTAACTCAGGCTAAGCACTGGAGATCCTTTGCTTATGCCTAATAATCCTTGCCCCCAAAGACCAACCAGAAATAAAGAAACAATTCCGCCTCGTTAGGGGTTTTTATTGCCTTCCCCTCGAGTGCTCTGAGCTACAAACTCATCTGATGGGAGGAATTCACTTGCTTGCCTCATCTTCACGGTGGATTGGGGGGGGGGGGGGAAGAGAGAGAGACAGAGTAAATAACAACGTTTTTTATTGTCTTTAATGTTCCACACTAGTCCGTCTGATGTCAATGGGCCTTCCTCACTGGACAGGATGTAACACCTTCTGCTGGAGACCAGCATTTCACACCAGTTAATGTCTCTCTCCTGGCTGGTGATTTACAAAGTTACAGAGGCGTACACGGCAAATACTCCACTATTACCTTATAATATGGGATACAAATGTGGTAAGAGAGATTCATGCCTGCAGCAACTTACATGACAAGTGTTCCATAAATTCTAACCACTAGACACAGCCTTATAATTCTAATCCCAATTTTAACAACGCTAACGCACAGGTGAGGCAGACTGACTCCAGCCGTGTATCTGCCAGCGTTCAGCTGGTGCCTGGTCACCTCGATGTGAGCTGGCACTTGCTGCCACCCCTGCATGCTGGCTCTCATGATTTTATTTTAGCACTTCCTCATTGTGTCTGACTTGAAAATAAACGAAGGACAGACTCCCAGAAGGTTCATAGTCTAGAGAATAAAGTAGGAGACTCTGAGCCAGGGTTCCTGAGGACTAACCAGCGCTCAGTCAATGATTCACTGTGGGACTGTCAAACCACTGTGCCTCAGTTTCCCCTACTGTAAAATAAGGCTGTTAATACTTAACCAGCTCACTCTCTCTCTCCCACACACACACACACACAGAGTGATTGCATGTCAGGAAGGCAAGGTTAAAAAAAAAATACAGCTAAATGGCCTTGAGCCAATCAATGAAACACACCCCTCAGTCACCACTGTTTAGCTTGAGAAAACCTCCAGGGAGCCCGTCATGAAAAGAGCAACCATCCAGCATGTGTGCAGCATCCCCCACAGCACCACGGAGGTGCAGGGGGTGATCATGGATGCCCCAGGAGTGGTTGATTTTGGCACAGGGAACCTGAACTTGTTGAGCTGGCTCCAGAGGTGGCTTGGGAGCCCAAAGCCAGGCAGCCATTCTGGCCGGCTGATGATGTAGGCGTCCCTGGTCATGGCAGAGGTTTTCTCCCATTCTGTCCACCACAGCAAGCTGATGATGTTGTCAGCTGATGATGTTGTGCAGCGCTTGGCTGGGGGTTTGGAGCCCCATAATGAGCTTAGCACATGGAAGGTGCACTAAGGGAACAAAGGGTTATTACTGCTGTGGCCCTGTTTACTTCCAGCCTCAGCTGAAACCAGGATAGGCAGAGACAGCAATGAAACTAAAGCTCACTGACCCTTCCTCACCTCCTTTGTTGTTCAGTTTGAATCCTGGGTTTGAGCCAGGAGGGGGCTGGTGCTGTTGTGAGAAGAATGGGAGATGCTCAGACAGGCTCCATCTCAAATGTGTGAAATCTAGACAGGCCACCTAGGAAATCAGAGACACAGAGCTCAAGGGGGAAAGACTTACGCTGCAAAGCACAGGCATAGCTCCTGTGTATAAAATCTAAGCTTTATGCTACCTGAGCTGGACTATCTAGAGTAGTGTCTGATGGTGTTAGTGTCAGAATTGTGGGGCTCAAACCTTCGAGGTGCTGAGCATGCTGGCCCTGATCCAGCATGCGCTTAGCTTTAGGTACGAGTAGTTGCCCTGGTTTTAGCGGGATGAAGCACATGCTTGACATTAAGCCCGTGCTTTGAAGGATCAGGGTCAGCGCACTCAGCACGTTGCAGAACCAAGTCCCTGGAAGGAAGAAGAATGTCTCCCCCACTCCTCCTACTGGCTTACATGGAGCTGTACAGCATTGAATTAGGCATGCAGGGGAGTCTGCATCTCTGCTTAATGTTTGCCTATGCAAGGAGCTAAATATTCATTGAGTAATTAGCCAGTTCAGATTGGCGGTATGAAAAGACAATTCCTTCTAATTACAAGGGATGTCAGTTAGAAGTTGCCACACAAGAATGTCAGTCACAGTGGAAAAGCAGCAATAAAATAGTATATAGAGAGACATTGTCCTTGCTTTGATTCACATTCAAAAAACCAAAAACATAAACAAACAATCAAACAAATTCCCCACGTTACTTTAGATAATTAAATATTTATCAGAGTTGAAGAATTAAAACCCATGTAATGTTTCAGGCTAGTTAAAATCTCTCTCTCTCTCTCTTTAATGCCTCTTGCAATTGCTTTAGCGTTTCCCTGCCTTTGCCAGACGTGGGGATTCTGGTGTCTGCAGCAATGGCTTGTGAACCTTGCAGAGTATCCTCTCACCTGATCTGGGGAAAACAGAGAGAAAGAGAGAGGGATAACTTGTTGAATGGGACTTTCCCTTACAGCCACTAATTCCAGTTCCCCCTTTTCCTTACTTTGTCATTCCAGTGCCCAGCGTGATTGCTTGTCAGGGTAGATGCAGGCTAAAGGAATCCCTTCAACAATGCCTACCATTATCTCAGAGATTGTGCCAAGTGTTTTCTTCTTCCTTGGTAAGGGCTGCAAAGAACTGTGTCTAACCAAGACAAACTCATCAAAGCTCCTTCTGATCAATTCACGGGTTTTTGCCTATGTGGAGGGATGACTCACTTGACCGATGTGCTGCCTTTGGACTTCAAGCTTTCTGGTGAAAGCCTCAACTATGTTAATGTTTATGACATCCCACCAGCATATAGGTTACTGTGAGCTGGTCAAACCCACGCAGATGTCTGACCATCAGTTGTTAGACAAAATAGATTGTGATTTTTCACTAGGAGTGACCCACATTGATAGCCATTGTGATCCAGAAACGTGCAATGGTAAATGTGGAAATGCAAGGAATTGACCAAGGCATCGCAAAATGGGTCAAATACTATAAATTGAACTTAAGTCCTCTCTTGTGTGACCTGCTGTGCCAGCTTTGCTGGCTTCCAGGGAACCCAGTCTTTGTGCGTCTCAGTAGGGTTGCCCAATGGGCAATGTAATGAGTTGATTGTGCTTCCCTCTGGTGTGATTTAGGCTCCGAGGGCAAAATTTAACCCTATCCTAAAAATCTCCAACTCCCCTGGAAGTTAAAGAGAGCTGTGCTCGAATTCTGTCAGAACTGGTGGCATAGTAAATTGCTGCTGAAGAAAGCAGGAGAGAGGCCACTGGCAGAAGATGCACTGGTGTGATGGTCTGAGTTTGAGTTTCGCCATCTGGGAATGTCATACTGGATAGCACAAGGGACCACTTCTGGCCTCTCTGCTGTACATGGGGAGTTCAGAGGTGCTTCAAGACTCTTTAATAAAAACAGTTCATGAGAGGACAAGAGCTACCTAGGAATGAAGTGCAAAAGACTCCTCTGAGTTTATAACACTGCAAAATGGCTTTGAGGACACTGTGCAGCCTGCTGCCTGGTTGTCCTTACTGTGCAAACACTTTGGGAAAAGCTATGCATCTCTATAGTATGGAGAATCTCAGCACAATCAATGCAAATTGCATAAGGATACTTTGTTACCAATGCACAGCAATAGCCTCCTGCCAGACCGAGGAGGCTATTTATAAACAGCGGGAGGGAAGACATGAATGCCTGTAACTGAACTGTGCCAGCCTTTTGTTACCAGCCAGTCATCTTTGTAGCTCTTTTTAATGTTGGAGAAGACATGTCATTGGATGAGCAAAGGGGTGGGATACATCTAGGAGAAGATCCCTCCTTCTTTGCCTGTCTCCAAGTAGAGAAGCTGGGCTCTGTATTATGAAATTTCACATTTGGGATAATTGCATTAGGGTAATTGCCACTACAGCATTATTTTCGATTCCTAGGAGGGGCTGAGAAGAAGACTGAGTGTATTGTGTCTGCGTTAGCAGATTAATAATTACAGTCTGTTGCAACATTGCTAGTTTGTATAGATTTGCAGCTGCTGGGTCATGATGATGCAAACTTGAAGATACCCTATAGGAACAATGTACTGTGCTATATATATTTTACTTCAACTGCTTGTCTGTGTGTTTTCTATATTTTCATCGGATTCACAGCTTGTTACAAATAGAAAACATTTACTACTCAAAGAAATCAAAAGCTGGAACATTGTAGAATGACAATTATCTATTTAGCAGATTTGGGGGAAAAATTCTGGGCACAGTAATGACACTCTGCATGTCTCTATAGCACTACGTTCTTTAGAGGTTTTCAAAGTACCTCACAAACATGAGTTAACTGAGCCTCATCACACCCTTGTGAGAAGGGGAAGGAGATCTGTAGAGATCACTCTGCCAGTCACTGCAATCGATCCACCTCTGCAATGTAGACCCTTTGCAGCAGCTGTTTAATCTCTGCACAGAAGTTCAGGACAGAAGTGAATTCCATAGCTAATTGAAAAGGCCGCGACAATTTAGGGAGGCAGAATTGGATTTCTCACTTGGGTTAATACTCTGGTGCTGTTGACTCATCCTTTGCGAAAATGTCATGGGATCTTTCATGACAGCAAACAGCGAGGGGACATCTGTTTTACGGAGAGACTGCACCTCCTAGCACACACACTGTGCCAACGCATGAGAACCGAAAAGCTGACTCTACACAGAAAGAGCAACAGTCCCATTAAGTTTCACTCTCCCACTAGGAGCAAAATGCAAAAAGCAAACTAACAACATAAACAGTGAAAAGCCAATTAGATTTGTGAAATGATTTCAATTTGCATGATCTAAGTAAGGCATCACGCCGCTAAGGAATTGTGTCAAATCTAAGATTTTTGTCTTCCTTGATGGTGTCTCTTTCACATAATGAATATTTATATCAAGTACACCATATAATATATGACACAGAAAAACAATATTGTATTTCTCCTGTGGAGGACCTCAAGGGATTTAATGTAAGATTTCAAAGTAAAGTGAATATTGTTTATTCATGTGCAATTTAATCTTTATAACTGAGTCCATGGAGACGGTGTAACTTATTTATGGGGTGGGGCGGGAGAGCAAATGGTAAGTAGTGAGCATAGGAACATGAAGATGGAGCTATGCACATATCCATCATTCTGCTCCCCACAGGGTGGGGGATTGGAGAGAGCTAGGCATGTGTCACTACCCAAGAATCAGATCCAAAGCTCACTGAAGTCAGTGGAAAGATTCCCATAGACATCAATGGGCTTTGGGTCAGGCCCTAAGCAAACAGCAAAACACTGTTAACTGTGTGGTTCTACTGGATATCCTCGTGGCTCAGCCAGCACCAGAGATTATATTACAAATCTCCCTACAACACCCAGTGGAGAAAATTATAGTACCAGTACTGTACACCTCCAGCCACTCAGCAGAGGAAATAAGATGACAGCTACACCCGTAACACCCAGTGGAGAAAAGGGGACCACTTGTATATTTTTTTACATATGCAATTATAGTGCTGAGCACTATTTGGATTTGCTCCTGCAGCTGCTGCTGTCCCGGAGTGTGTTCCGGCCAATTACAGTTCCAAAATGAAACGTACACGTGCAGAACCACAGAGCGGCTCACATTTGAATGGAAGCAAAGGGGACATAATGACTTGCGCATGCTCTCTCCCAATGAGATCTAACCTGCTATCATGCAGGGGGATGGATTCTATTTGCCCACTAGTCTGCAATACATCCAGTTAAGATATACTACCTGGATTGGAGGGTGGGGTCAGAGGTCATCATTTAAATAGCTCTATCTGTCTATTCATTCCCATAAGTATCTCTCTATTTATCTAACCATACATCCATACCAAGCTTACTACTTTAGCATCTGATGCCCTCCAACTGTTTTTATATGGCCACCTACCTTCTAACAAAATTGTAATAAAATTGCACAGTGAAGTGGCATCTTTCCTTCTAAAAGGTAAAAATCACACCAACTTGTAGATGTACCCAGCTGTGAAGTCCTGGCTTAGTCCTTCTGTAGGCAACTCTCTCCCTGGAAGTAACTATCAGAGTGAGGATGCTGTCAAGATAATAATGTGATTCTTTCGTAATTTTATCATTCCTCCGTGAGCCTCCCTTGAAATGAAGGGCTAGGTAGGATAAAGGTTTATGTAGTTAGATCTCTGTTCACTTACCAGTGTCCTCTCTCCTTCTGCGCCCTGCCAATGCTAATCCAGGCTGGAAAAATGCGGCCACCACTGCTCTGTTAACAAAATAAAATAAAATAAAAATAACTAAAGTCAAAATAATGCCTTAAATTAGCACCATTCTGGGACTCTATCTCCATAGCTGGCTAATGGTTTATACCATGAGGCCTCCCAAGACATATTTGTCTCTGTTCTTTGTGTATTTAGACTGAGAGGCTTCATTAACACAGGCTCTGAAACTCCACACGGCAGGTCCCAGAGCTTGGGCTCCAGCCCGAGCCCGAACATCTACACTGCAATTTTATAGCCCTGCAGTCCAAGCCCCGCAAGCCCAAGTCAGCTGACCCGGGCTCTGCGACTCAGAACTGCATGTTTTGTATTGAAGTGTAGGCATACCCTGGCAAGCTCTTATATCAGTAGGACTTGTTTGTTTAATTCTTTGGTTTTTTGTTTAACAGCCCATCTGAGGCCTTAAGTGCCCTGACCACATTAAAAGCACAAGCAGCTTGTAATCTGCTCACTGTACAGCAATCTAATTAAGTCTTATGTCTCTTTTGATGCTCCATGTTGTTGTCAAGAATCAGAATGGCCTGGTGGGAGTTACTTTGATCCTAAATAAGAAGGCTAAAGAGGGTCTCAGGAAAAGTTATCACCTTCTTCTTAAGAGCCTGTGTTGTCCCTTATTGCTTGGAAGCTGGGGGTCACCTCATAGGCTGGAAGGCTGGGGAGGGCTGTGAGGTGAGACCAGTTGGAAAGAGAACACCTGGAAGTACAGAATAGTTTCCTCGGTTAATCTCTCTCTACCCCAGTAGGCACTCACAGCTTTTAAAAAGTCAGAGATCTTGTAAACGAATTCCAGTTCATACCTGAGTCACGCTGCTCTTCTTCCAGGTGTGTGGTCAATGAGCACATTCATAACAGTTCTGAGAAAAGGCACAAGCTGCAATGAAAGAGCTTTAGCCTGCTGCGAACAGAAGGATGTGGTCCTTACTTTCCGGCCTGAAGATTCTGCATAGGTGAAGTGCCCATGCCAAGCCCATAGAATTACTGGCTGCCGTGCTCTCACTTGGTCCGATACCTGGACACCTCTTCTTTGAAGCAGAAAGTGGAATAACAAACAAGTCCCTTACGTCTGGAGCATAGGGGGCAGCGGGCCAGTACTTGTGGACATTGGCAGAGCTGAGTGAGCCCTTAGTGCTGGGTTATCATAGTGAGCCACAAGACAGGAGAAAAGTGTACTGGCAAAGCTGTACATGGAAACTCAGAACTTCAGCAGCTGGGGTGGCTGTCGGTCATGGCTGAATTGCTTCAGCAAAGCTGTGTGGGAAACCCAGAAGTGGAATAACAGAGGGTGCTGCTTGACAAGGTACAGGTGCATAGGCAGAGAACTGGACGAGCAGAGGGTGCCACAGTGCAGGTAGCATTTAGATGGCCATCGGCAGAGCTGTGTAGCAGTTTGGGCAGTGAGACCATGCCTGCAGTTTATCTGGCTGCAGCTAATGCTAGGAGTCCTTTAAAATCTTGAAACACAAATTGCCAATTCCTTGAAATAAATAAAACGGGAAGAGGTGGGGAGGAAACCGTTAACATCCACCCAAGGAGTCAGATTTGGCCCTGTGTTGCATCTCAGACAGTGCAAAGGGAAGCCACTGGCAAAGTAAGTAATGGCCTCAGGCTGCATAAAGTTTGCCTCCGCTGGCCCATTTTTGTTTTTGAAAGAGGTATATTTGCTAAGCTTCTTTCGCTGCCCATCTAATCAATGTTAAAAGAGCTCCAGATAGCTCCTCAGAGAAAGCCAATGTAAACAAGATTCAAATCAATGCAGAAGCCCCACTTACCTCATCAAGCCTGCCGCAGGCAGAGAAAGCACACTGCTGGCGTTGGCTCTTTCGAAGCAGCCATGTTTGGCTCCCTCCATGGAGACTGCCCTCCCAGGGCTTGTTCGCTGGAATTTGCAACACAGCCTCTGAGCAGAAACCGCTTCCCGCACCTGGCCAATGAGCTAAGTCTGAGCCAGTGAAATGAACAGAGCTACAGCTTCTCTGCAGGATGCCTCTTTATAGGCCTGAAGAACCCCGGCGCTCAGCTGCATTTGGCTGATTATAATATGTCTCCTTAAGATGTTGCTCACTGTACTCGTAACAAACACCATGCTGCCAGCAAATACTCTGCAGCCAATTACTCTGCTCTGATCAAGCCATCAGCAGCTTATTGCTTTGTTCCCCGTCTGATACTGTAAGGGTATGTCTACACTGCAACAAAACATCTGGGGCTGGCCTGTGTGAACTGACTCAAGCTGTGGGGCTATCAAATTACACAAGATACCCTCTTGGGTCCCAGAGTCCAGGCTCCAGCCTGAGCCTGAACGTTTACACTGCAATTTTATAAACCCACAGCCTGAGCCCCTGGGAGCCCAAGTCAGCTGACATGGGCCAGCCACATGTGTTTTACTGCAGTGCAGACATACCCTTAGTAAAATGAGGCATGAAGCTTTGAACTTAACTTTCCTTTCATATGGTAGGAAGCCTTGGATGGATCTCTGATGAAGCACACTCAGCTGTAATCTGTCTGCCAGTTTGCCCCAAAATACCTCCTCTTTGCATCCTTTCCTTCCCCTCCCCTACTCTCCCATCCCATCCCATCCCACACCCAATTTTGCAGCTCTTCTCACCTTAGACTGAAGTGTGGGATTTTATAAGGACTTAAATGGAGAAGGCAGGTGATGCCAAGTGCTGACTCAGCACCCTGGAGCTGACCAACCTTAATTCACCTCATCACCCAACCAGCTGCTAGCACACAGCTGAAATGGAAAAGTAGAGTTAACCCTTGAAGGCCAGCACTGTCTAGGCTGCCTGCCAAATGAACATTTCCGGGGGAGGATGTGAATGCAGAAACCCTGATGCCTGCTGAATGCCACCCAGTTCTGCAGAAATCCAAGTGTGTTCAGTCCTGCCCATCTGTCCAGAGTGCTCCAAAGTTAGTAGCTACAGGCCTGGTCTTCCCACTCTATCCCCACATCAGTAATAAAAGCAGAAGATTAGAAAAGAAATGTCATCTCAGTGAATTGATGCCTGGATCTCATGTCTGATGACACCCTCTTCATAGGCCCTTCAACTGCTCAATCCCAGTGGCGTGAAAAAAATAAGATTGCTGCTAGGAAAAACAATTAGAAATACAATTAGTATTTTAAGAGCTAACGATAAATATTTGAGTTCTTTCTCTCCAGGGGAGAGACAGTGATGACAGCTCTCAACTCCTTGTATTGACAAAGGAGGAAACAGTCCATGAAACCGGTCATTTGCTGGGAATTTTTATCTATCACTTCTGAGGGGGGAAAACAACAGAAGCACGAAAAGTCAGATTAACTGTCAAACCTTCATTCACTTTTGCAACATCGGCAATATGCAGTTACTGCAACACTCTCTCTCTTTCTCTCACACACACACATTTAAGCACTTACACAGACACAAAGGCTTATGTATATTTCAGCCTGGAGAGGTACACACAAACCATGCCAAAAAGAAACAGACTTGAGCACAGACACACACTTGGGCACAAAACCACATAACTCCAAAGGCAGGCAGGAGCTGAGTGTGCAGTGCCCATGAGAATCAATAGGTTAGTCACTGGTGCATTAGAAATGATCTTTTATTTATTTAAAAGACTGGTAAAGTGCTAAGAACAGAAATGTGCTAGTGACTTAAAAGACACCCTCCTCCTTCTTCAAGAGGGACTGAAAGGCTTTTATGTGCCAGGAGCCAAGGACAGGTTTCTGGGATTCTCTTGGTTATTAATAAATATTGTTGGAAGAAAAGTTAAAACGTAGGGTTTGCATTTTGCCATTTACACAAGCTGCCCATGCTGGCTTTGTGAGGCTAATGGAAACATGTGATCCTTCTCAGGTTTGTGCTTCGGACATTGTGTCTCCTGTTGTCAGTGCCTGTCAGTGTGGTGTTCCCTGCCCGCAGGAGGGGAGTTAGTGCCTTTCCTAATGGCTGGCAGTGTGGTATTCCCAGTACACAGGGGCCCAGTGCGGTGCTTTACCTACTGCCTGCCATTATGGTATGAGCAGTGAGCAGAAAGCCTAGGGGATTACTTTACCCATTCCATGCACCTGGCAATCCCCACCCGGTCAGGGCTCTTGGAGATCCTCATTGTGGTGTGGTCAGATCTGCCAGTTGCCCCACAGATCTGCAATGTCCGTAATATCCTCTCCTCTCTGTGCCATCATCTGAGTGTCAGCAAATCGTGTGTGCTGTCAGCATGCGATGTCAGTACACTTTAACCCTGGCACAGAGCAAGGCCTTCTTGCAGAAGACATGACGCTGGCAGTGTTCTGCAGCCTTCCGCTTATTCCCCTGGTTGCTTGGCACCTATGCCTGAGGGCAAGTGCCTGACCAATTTGTGTGTGGGCACTGTGCCTTCCTAACAGATGGGCATGAGGGTAGCAGCCCCCATAGCAGGGGTGTGCTTCAAGTGGCCTGTCACGGAGGGCAGAATTCTCCAAACTGACAACACTGAAACAGCTGGAGAGTCTTTGGGCTTCTTCACAGCTACGGGCCAGGGGAACGTGCTTCATTTCCGCCAGTCCTGCTCTGAGCTGCATACATGCTCCGAAACAGACACATCCCAGCTTCTGCAGCCACCCCAGGCTAGCTGCTGGGCTTGATGACTCAGATGCTGGGTTGTGCGGCTGGACAGTGACATGGGGGAGTGATTCTCTCCCCCTCCTTCTTTCATTCAAGGCCAGGCAGGTTGCCTCACACTGGCCTGAATTGCATCCTCTCAGCAGGGACATGCTAACAGCAACTGAACAAAGCCATTAAAATTACATATCAGCAGTGATTTTCCAGGGAAGGGGAAGCATTGATCTGCCTCTGCCATTGAGAAATGAACGAGTACGAGCAGCACCATTTTAACATATGAATTTCTGATCAATACCCTGTTTTCATTGATTCCTTTACTTGCTGTAATGAACTGATTAAGAGAAATACAGCTGCAAAACCAAGTGCTTTTTAATAACCAAAGCAGTAGCCTGGTCTCCTTAGTTAGGTGAGACCCAAAGCAATATGCATGCATACACGCACGCTGGACTGAGTACACACACACAGACATTAGACATGTTACGGATCATGGCTCCATAATTAAGACTGACTACACATACACACAGATAAATAAATAAGTGATGGATAAAAGTCCCCATGTCTTTGAATCAGAATGGTCTGACAATAAGGTTCATGCCGGGACTTCTCTGAGAAAACTCGTTTCTCATGTGACCTTCGGCCCTTCTTGTTTTTGCTCATACCTGGAATACTGCAAGACCTGCCTGTCTTGCAGCATCACCTTCTGTCAAGGCTGATTCCCCACTCTGGCACTTTGAGTGCAGAAGGCGGGGGCCCACAAGGGTTCTAAAAATCAATACTTGCCACTCCAGGCTAGTATTAAGCTCCCAAGGTTACAGCTTCTCTCTGACCTTGGATGGGTAGATGCTGCCACCACCCACAGGCAAAAAACCCCTTTGGACCCAGGAAGGCGCACTTGGGAATTCCTCCCTCTGGGGTACCCTCAAGCCCTTTCACCGCCCCCTCCAGGGAAGAGCTAAAAAAGAAAACAAAGGAAATCAGCTGTTGCCACCAGCTAATTAAACAACATGTGCACAAACCTCTTAGGACACAAAAACCTCAATCCTGTTCTTAAAAAAGGTAAATTTTATTAAAAACAAAAAAGAAAGAAAATACATCTGGAACTTAGGCTATTGCTAAATTTAAAAAGAGCAAATATAATAATTAAGCATCAAGAATGATTTTCTTGAGGTCCAGCTTAAAGGTTACAAGCAAAACAAAAGCACCTGGGGTTAGCACAGAGGAGTCCACAAGCCATAAAGAAATAAAAGAGAGAAACCCCATCGGTCTCCCTAGACATTTCCTGATCTACTTACATATCAGGGCTTTCAAATGAGGAGTTTCTAGGGATGGTCTGATGGTTTTCCATACCTGGCTTAAAGCTTCTTATAGCATAGTCCAGCCCTGTCCCTGCTCACTGGGAGAACAACCACAGACAGACAAAGGAAAAGTTTTTTTCCAATTTTAAAAAGTTCTAGCCCTCCCATTGGCTCTTTTGGTCAGGTGCCCACTCCCTGCCTTTTCCTATGGGATTTTTTAACCCTTTACAGGTAAAGCAAGTAGAGAACAGCTACTAACAGGGATTTTGTAGCTAACTGGCTGGCTGGGTATCCATAAAAGGGAGCTACCCCCACCCTTCATTTATCACACCTTCTCTACAGCGTTTCAGAATTTCCATCCAACATCCAAATGAAAACCAAGATGCACAGAAGTTGATGTTCCAGTTGATGAGGAAGAAAGTTAGCAGAACATTTTCAAAGTCCAGAAAGATGTACATTTGGTTTGAATTTGCCCTGGAGGTTCAGGGCTTTCTTATTTTATCCAGACCGGTCCATTTGTATCCATTTCTTCATCTATCCCTCTATCTCCAACTCCATCCATCTACCTCTCTCATCTCAAGATAAAGAGTAAAAAATGTCTTTTTTCCCCTTCTTAACTGTATTCATTTTGAGTTAGAACTTACATTGGCTGACCCTGCTGTGGCTGAATCTCAATGTCCTCTTTATTGAATCCTTCTTCTGAAATTTATTAGATAGTATGGTATTACCCTCATAAAAATCCAATAAATGGCCCTGTTTGCAATATATGCCATAATGATTCTAACCCAGTGGCATTCTTGGAAAGACCTCCTTAGAAATAAAGTGGGAGAAAAACCTAACGGAAATCTTTTGGATAATTAGATTGCTGGAGTGCCGAAACCTTTTGAATCATTTAAAAATCAAAAGGGACCCAGCCTTTAAATCATAGGTTAACAGTGCTTTGGTAGAGTTGCAAAATTCTGCAGTCTCGCCATATCTTCTTTGAACTGTGTGTATATTGAAAATCCCCAGCGACCGCTGAAACGTGTGTCTGTTTTATGTCTTTCCCTTTGCCTTCTCGTCGGTTTGGGAAAAGTCAGTGAG